TCCCATTGTTGCAAGTGCTCTCCAACCCAGTCCAGGTATTTGTGAAAGGTACACATTTCCAAAAGTTTTATTGCTGTCACATATGTACATTTTCTTTTTGTTGTGTGCGTTTGTAAGGCCGCTTCTATCGATTTTTATCTCCGCAGCAAACATCTAGACGATTCCAAAATGTCGCTCCTCCGTTCCTAGACCACCCATGAATTCAAGTTCATGACTGGGAACATTAGAAATTGTTTAGAAGTGCGTAAGCGACGGATGTGGATGTATGTACGTAGTCTGAATCCTGCAGCTTTATGAATTGGAACTTATTCTTGAAGTTATTGGTTACTTTGGACCGGTTTCCATCGTTATGGCATTGTTGCTGATGTAGATTTCGTAATTTTATGGGTCAAGATTGCATATCATCCGGGATCATTTTCGAATGTTCATAATCAGCGTTCAAAACAAATGTTGGATAGCTAACAGAAAAAGATTTAAGACTCAAATAGGGACAGTCTTTTGTACTCCTAACTTTTTCGAACCGTGCTTTTCTAATTCTTATTAATGAAATCATAGCGCAACTGGACTAGGGGGGAGGGGTTAGCAATGGTCAGCAGTTGTTCTCTGACAACGATAACGATCTGTTTTCTGTTTCAGCCTCTTGATGTTTGGTGAACATTATATCCTCGAAAAGTAGTTGCTCTCGTGTGTGAGCTGTTAAAATCAATTCGGAATCATGTTTTGTACTGGCATCTTTCAGGAACTTGTTAGTACGTCTTTCTATTAGTACGATGGATTTTGGTGCGGCCCTGAACAAGTTTTTGAATTTCGAAGTAGCCTTTCCTAAGGATTTGTTCAGTCCCAGTTTGGGATAGTGAAAAACTGCTGCAGCCGTGCCTTGTTCAGTGTATACTCGTCAGGACTCATTCACTTACCGTACTGAGTTTTTTCAACAACATATCATGCTGATGTTCAACAATAATGTCAAGCTCCAAAATTTATTTTAAAAAACTCAAAAGGCGTTAAAATCCTGAAGAATTTCGAAAAAACGTTCATCTTGCTATATTTCAGTGCCAAGCCTGTTCGTCAGGTCTGGAGTGAGAGGTTTGTTACTTCTATTTGGTAAGCAACCATATTAACCCATTGCGTACCGCAGTGTATTTGCGCGACGCGATTTCTGGCGCGCTGAGTATAAAAACATAAGATTTTTATCTTATACATATAACATAAAAATATTGCACACACATCGTATTATGCATCACTTTTATAAGTATACGTATGCTAAAGGGGATTCAATATTGTTACGTGATAAAAGTGTAAAGCCGAAAAATGCGAAACTAGCCAAAAAAGCTTGATAAAATTAAGAGGAATTGAAAAAGTGACGCAGTGTGCTTAGAAGCTGTTCACTCACACCATTTTACAATTTTTCAGTCGTATACTAAGCAGGATTTCGGTTTTATTGGTAAAGGAGAGTTAATTAAAAATGTAATAGTTGAGGTATTACTCGAAAAATGCTAGCAACATAGCTATTATTCAATCTCGCAATTTCCCCCACACATATTTTGTCCCTGACGACTTCAGGAATATACCTACTCTTTCCAGTCATCTAACAATGCTAAATGAGTTCACACTAAGAGTGCTTCACCATGTGCAGCACGCGGTACGCAATGGGTTAATCTAACCTACACGGACTGGCAGCTCAACCCATGACTTACCCTTCATTCAGTCGGAAGAATCAATATATTGTATATATTATATATTACTCGTGTTGATTTCACGTATACACACTACAGCTCGGGGTGATGAGACAGGTGGCTTCTTCTTTTCTTTGTTTCCTACTACATACTCGACTGGACAATTCCTTACCTATGATGAACTTTGTAGGTAGTAGTTATACTTATTCTACTACTCCGCTGACATTTTGTGTCCGTTCTGTGCCATTTGAGCTCATTTGTGTTGTGTTCTCTTGAGTTGTGTTACGTTTCTGTGGTGTTTTTTTGTATTCTTTTTCTTTTCGTTCTTCTTTTAGTCCCGACCTGATTATGGTATCAAGGAATGTAGCGCACCTAGGAGTGCATATAATAAATAAATAAATAAATATTGGCTGAAGTGCCGCTCCGTGTAGGTTGGAGTCATACACTTGTTAAATTGCCTAACGAAGTAAGAGCTCTCTGTTCAGGCCTGAGAAGGTGTTAAACACGAAATATAGCAAGGTAAATAATTTTAGAGGCTTTTTCATGTCTTGTGAGATTTTTTGAATGGATTTTGTTTCCACAGCTGTTAAACATTGAGTTACTAAGCGGTCTCGGGACAACGCAACACTTAAATGAGCTTTTATGTTGGGTTCTTCATGATTCAGCTGTTCCTTTGGAGATATACGTTCTTGTATGTGTACAGTCACAAACGCTGTCCAACGCCGTGAACGTCATTCACGTCCTTCTATGGTTTTTTAGAATCCTACTAAAATGTGATTTGCTGTTAATTGCCATGTATTGATTGCGTCGTGCAACGTAGTTTATTGTATACTCAGAATGAACAGTTGTATAGTTTGTTTTCAGATTACTAACACTAATAACATTTCGCAAGCACTGTTACCGGACTTCTCTATGACTTCTATGCAGGTGGAGGCAACAAAGAGCGATACAAGGTTGGTTTATGGTTCTCTTCACCATCCGATAGGTGCGTGCATGGTCTTCTTAGCTTAATGATAACGATTTCAGTAGTTGGTTCAGTTGGGGTAAATCCTCCTTAATGAGACTCGCTGAAGCCGAAGCACGGCTTTTTGCGACGTTTGGTGCCCAGATTCTCTCACGATTTGTACCGGTGAGTATCTGAGCTCTGCTTTTCTTCTTGTTCTCTTTTTAAGTTCTTACTGCGTATTTCATTCGATTTCATTCAAGATTCGGTTCAAAGGCAGCGATATATATACTGTCACTGTAGAACCGACCCAAGAGAAGAAATCTGAAGAGCCGGTTGTTTTGGTGCATGGATTCGGAGCTGGTGTAGCTGTATGGAGTGCGAATATAACTTCGCTGGCCAAGCACAACGTTGTACATGCATTCGATCTTCTGGGTACGTCATTTTAGCAGGAAATAAGCCGTAGATAACCGCGTGGATAGGCGCTAAGCCGTGTGATAAGGCGATAGGCTGGACTTTACGCAGACATGATGTTTCTTTTGTTAGATGCCAAGGAAACCACGAAGGATATTCTCCGAAACTATTCTATATGATTATGCCAATAGAAATTGCAGTTGCAGGCCCAGAATTTTCTAAAATGCAAGGCGACTAAGCGTATGTCAACAGTAAAAGAACGACATTTTATATATGTGAACAGATCTTCCGAATATAAAATTTCACATTAAATTCACCCCTTTTCGAGCCAAATACCCCTTTTCAAACCAAATTCACCCCTTTTCAAACCAAATTCACCCACCTTCCGAATCGAATTCACCACACTTATTAGGCTGCGCAATTCATCAACCAAATCACGCCAGACACTACTGCGGCCCCCCCCCTCGGCCACGCCCACTTGCTTTTTGCGGAATTTTGATATTTTTTCAAAATTTTTGCATTTTTGGACTGCTACATGAAGCCCCGCCCACCTGTGAGAGGCTCCGCCCACTTTTCAAAAATGGTGCAAATCGGCAGTATAGAGTCTTGGCTGGCATGCTAGGGTATTGCTGATCATTCGGAACAAACTTTGCCTGATTTTCTTGTTCCGAGTGACGAACGAGACCCTAGCATGAAAGCCAAGACCCTATACTGCCGATTTACACCATTTTTGAAAAGTGGGCGGAGCCTCTCACAGTGGGCGGGGCTTCACGTAGCAGTCCCAAAAATGCAAAAATTTTGAAAAAATATCAAAATTCCGCAAAAAGCAAGTGGGCGTGGCCGAGGGGGCGGGGCCCGCAGTAGTGTCTGGCGTGATTTGGTGATGAATTGCGCAGCCTAATAAGTGTGGTGAATTTGGTTTGGAAAAAGGGTGAATTTGGTTTCGAAAAGAGGGTGAATTTGTTTGAAAAAGGGTGAATTTGGTTTGAAAAGGGGTGAATTCAAAGTGAAAATGGTATGTACATTGAGGAATCAGCCAATAGCTAGCTAGTTATTTTCACAGGATTCGTATCTTCCAGGTTTTGGACGTTCTTCACGCCCACGCTTCAGCAATGATCCGACGTTGGCCGAGTTAGAAATGGTGGAGTCCATTGAAGATTGGCGAAAGTCGATGGGCATAGAGAAGATGTATCTTGTCGCTCATTCATTTGGTAAGATTACTGTTTTACAATTTAATACAAAATGATAGACGTAGGTGAAAATCATGAATCTTTCAATGGGACCAGTTTTCTTCGATGCGCCCCAAATCCAGTTCCAGAGTCCTAGTAGCCTTTGAGTGCACATTTGGCCTACAGTTTACAGTTCAACATTTTCACTCTTCAAATGGGGCTAATAGTAATTGGCCTGGATATCCGATTTGTTGTGTAGAAGACGAAACGTTAGTTCCATGTTTCCGCGAGGGCAGTGAGAGCTAATGAAGTTCTTTGTGATGAGGACGTCGTACACATGGCCCTTCGGAGTCAGATGCATGGTATTCGCAGGTGTTGGAAGATACATTGCTAGATCTTGCGTGTCGCCACAGCGTGGAACTAGCGTCCCAAACCATACCTGCGCCACAACAACCACATCATTGTTCACAGTCTGCGACCCTGACAAATCGGAGAACGAAACGCTTCTTCCAAAAAACTTGCTGATGCATACTAACAGGCGATTCGGTGACGAGTCCAGGGTTTTTGCGAAAAAAGGTTAGATACATATCGACAGGCGGATCGGCCGCGCAAAAAATGTCAGCTCTGCCCGCTCAGACGTTCCGTATCCAGATCATTTCACGTGGCGCCGAATCGCGTTTCTCCAGAACGTTTGACGGTTATACAGACGTACATATTTCTTGCTTTTCCCGTTTCTCCGATCCTCACTCACCTACCACGCCTGCTCCAACTTGCTGCAGTAGGATTGTTGTTCAAGCCATTCATACCCTCACCACTGTACACTCTAAAACCTCGAGCCGATTCAGCTCGTGACGTCGAAGCGGCATCGCGCGCAAATTGACAGCGTATCTCCTTACTAGGCGCTCGCCAGATTGAGTGCGTTGAGTTCTGGTGCGAATGAATTCGCTCATGACGCTTCTTTTGTCGCCCTTTTCGCCACTGCATGTTCTGAACTGCATCGGCTCAACTATTAGGAGGCAGCATTCAGGCATTAAATAGGTACAACGGATGTGTGACCTCTTCTGAATTGGACTGTCAGCGTCAGATGCTTCATTGTTTTTATTTTCATGCGAGCTTTCTGATTTTAGGCGCCTACCTAGCGTCATCCTATGCTCTCGAGCATCCTCATCGTGTAAAGCATCTTGTACTCGTTGATCCATGGGGATTTCCAGAGAAGATTGCACCAACAGAAAAACAGGTGTGATGCGTTTTGCAACGTTGTTATTCACATTGTGAAGATTAAAACAGTGGACCTTTTTAGATTACGCCGTATCCATGGATGGTGTTTATAGGAGGAGTACTGTCTTACTTCAATCCCTTGGCCACACTGCGAGTTGCAGGGCCATATGGTAAGCTGCAATTAAAAAATCAACGCCGAGATTATTAGAGTCTCTAAAACTAAAAATTCCATCAAATCCTTCATATCTCCTTGTTTCAGGTCCCACAATAGTGAAGAAGCTGCGCCCGGATCTCTCTCTCCGGTATAAAAGCGAAAACCCCGACGACATCTACGAATACTTATACCACTGCAATGCCCAGAAACCCACTGGGGAAACCGCATTTAAAGGAATGACTTTGCCGTTTGGATGGGCGAAGCGTCCCATGATGAAAAGGTTGGTTCAGAGCCTTTCGAAGAGGGGCGTTGTCGAGGTCAGGCCGCATTCGTACTTGAAGCGCTGTTGAAGAATCGGAATTCTGTGTGCAGTCCTTTCACA